TGGCGCTTCAAGCTAGTCATATGAGCAATTACACCGTTCAGCCATCCATCTATGTGTGTATTTAACTTACTCGGCATCTTTGTATGTATTTCTTTGTTCATTAGTCATACAGTGTGCCGCCCCTTTTCACCTTCACTGCTTTTATGCCAAATGTACGAAGCTCCGTTGGTCTTAAGTGAAAAATGTAAATTATTAACGAAATAGATGAAGACAAATGACTTAACGTTTCTGTTGCATCGATGGCAGCAAGCTACTCGTCTACATTCCCTCCTCTCTAGAGACAGCAAACGATTTTCCTGATTTTTTTCTTTTCGTCGCAGTATCTATATAAATAAGTCCAAATTTCTTAAATAAAAAATATTTATCATCTGCTCTGGTATTGAATTAATATAAAATGTAATATTAAAGATTTTTGCAGAACATTCGACACTTAAAAGCGTTTGTGGATATGTTTAGCTTGACCTAACTTTGATCTCGACGACCAATCCATCCAATAACTTACAGTGGAGCTGTTTCATTTTTTGAGGGCAAAAAAAAAAAAAAAAAAAAAAAAAAAAAAAAAAGGAAAAAAAAAAAAAAAAAAAAAAAAAAAAAACAAAAAAAAAAAAAAAAAAAAAAAATCGCATATGCGGGAAATGTTCTAAGGATCATTCTAAACAACCAACATTTAAAACACCCTTGAAGTTTGTAAGAGAGCGTACAAAAATTGTTGGAAGGTTTTCGGATAACCGAATGAAATTGGGTGTATTTTAATATTATATCGATAATTTGTCGGAATCAGTCAACCGATTATTCAGATTTTTTAAACATCTGATTGTCTCTTAATACGCTGAACTATGCCAATGGCACCGTATAGTTAGCTAACACAGCTCAATGGTCCATCCAATCCAATATTCGTCGTTGCCAATGCGCAAAGGACAATAAACCTTTCTCCCAAAAACTGGTAAAGTCGACTCAACAGATGTTGTCATAGTCCATGCCTCTGCACCATACAGTAGGACGGGGATCATAAGTGACTTGTAGAGTTTGGTTTTGGATGAGTGACTTGTAAAGTATGTTAGCTATGCAGCTCGAAATATTTAAAGAAGTCCTCAGTTAGAGAGTAGCCCTGTTTGCAGCTCGTTTGTTATCGAACGGCTAGGTAAGGCCTTCCCTATCCTGATGCAGATTTTGGTATTTTTTTACATTAAGTACTACTTTTTCCTCTTTATTTTTAACTTACGCGGTTTTAGCCGAGGATACAACAGAGTGCTAGTCGTTCTTCCTTTTCATTGTTGGCGCCAATTGGAGATTTCAAGGGTAGTCAAGTTCTCCTCTTCCTCTGCTTTCCCGGACGGGTATTGCGTCTAGTACTCTAAGAGATAAAGTGTTTTCAATGTCGTCGTAAATATCGCACAGATAATCGTTCATTCGACTGCTTTAAGTAATACATACTTGTATATTCCGAAATGAAATCAAAACAAAAACATTCATGATTTACGGTCTGGCAGGGGTTAAGTTTCTTTTTTGGGAGATATTGACAATAAGAGCCCCGCCAACCAAAAAAAAAGGTGATTTTGTGAATTAAAAGAAAAAAATAGCGCATTAATTAGTTTTATATATTTTAAGGGTACATTTAGTTATACTTTAGGAATATTACACAGTAAAATTCTTGAAGTAAGAAATAATTTTTTATCGAGTTACACGATCTCCTACTCTGTAAAATATCGTTAGAAAGAAAAAATTTTTATATTAAATTATTTTAAACAACTGTAGGACGGAAAATTAGATCTACTTGGGGAATTTTAAGAAAGCAAGAATGTCAGTTTATAATTGGAGACCTGTGGAAGAAAAGTCTAGGTTATTTTATTTTTTGGGATATATTTAATATTGCATGTCTTACAAATATTTTTAACAAAAATACTGAATAATGAATTAGTTTTAAATTTAAAAAGTTTCTCTTTGTCAAGTCTTACTACATATGTATATACCCCCTGTGTACATGAATATTCGCGTACATTTATCACTGGTTATTCACCGCCCGCAGCAAGCACGCTAATAAAGCAGAGACCTTTCATCCCATGCAGCCAACTGGTGCAATGATGCACCCTTCCCCTCTTACACACCACTGTACACAGTACCCGTGCAAGTAGTCAGCTAGTCGACAGTTAATTTCGCGAAAAAGGAAATTATAATTCGTGCCCTTTGGCGGATTTATCTGATTGAATTAATGCGCAGACACAGGCACGATGCTAATACATACATATTGCTTTCATTACATATGTACATATATATACCAAACAAAAACGAAAAAAAACTGAGACTAAAACAGGAAAGACACATTAACTTCGGTTGCACCAAAGCTATAACACCCTTCACAAATAAAAAAATTTCCATAAAAGAGCTTAATTTTGATCAATGAGTTTGTAATGCAGCCAAGAGCTGCACTAATGCCGATCTAAACAGTTTCTTCACATATCATTTCTTTGAACAACAAGCCAAGCCAAATTTCGTGAAGATATCTCCTCAAAAAAAAAAAAAAAAAAAAAAAAAAAAAAAAAAAAAAAAAAAAAAAAAAAAAAAAAAAAAAAAAAAAAAAAAAAAAAAAAAGCCTTTTGCACTAAAGATCTGGATTTTGATTCTTCAGTTTGATGGCAACTATACATACACTTAAGGGGCCCCATGTCGTTAGTTCCAACAAATGTGCAGCTTCTTTTAGAAAAAAGGGAGGATGAAAAATTTCATATCAATATCTCACCATGCTGATCATTTATATATACCATATATTGTATAAGTTCTCCGATATATTTTTCTTGGTGTTATAAACTTCGTGGTTATCTTAGTATATAAAGGTATAAAAAAAGAAAAAAGAGCGAACTAAAAACAGAAAACACCTAAATGAAGTGTGCTAAAAGCTTTGCAAAAAAAAAATTCCGGCGCGCCGGCTTTTGTCGGCTTTAATGGCTTTGCGGTGGTGCAAAACATATGTTTGTATTGCCGCAAAAACACCCGCATATGTGAGAAAGTGTGCGGGTTCGTGTGCGTGTCTGCTGCCTTTTAAGCCGGTCAAGCAGCCCTATTCATTCAATAAAAACCACGCCGCGAGGAATGAATGAAGTTCGTTTTGAAGTTAGTGATTGTTTTGTTGCACATATTTTTCACCACTTCCCCCTCTCTTTTCTACAACCGTCGCGAGTACTCCGTGCTCAGCAACGCTTAATGTCGGCAATCCTGTGGCCAAGTTGTCAGCTCAATGTTGGCAGCACACAACAGTTTAACAAGCGCAAATAAGGCTAGAACAACAACAAGCGCTCAAAGTGTGGCTGCTACATTGAATCGTTCGAATAGCACAAAATAAAAGCAGGCACAATGAATTCGCAAATAAAACAATAACAGCGAAAAATCGCAGCGCTGTCAGGGCCATTTGTTCCTCGTTCATTTCGCAGTTATGTTAACATTTCTGACAGCTCTTTGGCTTTCGGCCTTTTTGTTCTCACACAAACATGCGTACACATAATAACTGTGTATGTATGTATGCACATAAAAGGGCGCGATTCCCGTTTCTCTTGCTGTTGTTATTGTTTTGAATATTTTTTGTATTAATAAGCCTCCGCTCCTCTTTTCTCCTTCCTATAGTTCCTACAGCCAACATGCTTTTGGTCGCGTACTTTTTTGTGCTTATTTTATATTTAGTTCGAAATGATTTTTCTTTTCAATATCCCGTTTTTATATTTTCCGGTGTCTCTTCGTTCGTGTTATGTTTTGTAAAGAATCATAAATGAATTGAGTTAAGCACTTGTAATTCAATAAATCACAAAAGTGCATAGAATTCCACGTCATTGTTGAAACTTTGCATCCGTTAGAAACCCCAATTCAGTACCTTCAAGTGTTGCAGCTTCGACGCCTGAAAATATGCTATGCAAATTGTCTGCATGCTTTTATAAATTACTTGCAATAACTGTTTGTAATAATTTTTGATAAATTCCCTAAATTTTGGAATGCATCACTCCAATAAAAAAGTTCTGATTTACTTCGCACCGGAAAAATTTCGTGGATAGTCCCTTTCTTTTCTGCAATAACTAATGCCAAATTTGGTGAAGATATGTCGTTGTCTATAAAACGTCAAGCATTTTTATGGCAACTATATGATGTAGTGGGCCATTATCGGTAGTTCCTTAAATAGCAGCTTCTTGGTAAAGAATGGACGTTTCTAAAACTTTAGATAGATATCTCGAAAATTAAACATAAACGTGAAAAGCACCACATTTACAGGCGGGCATCCATATCTTAATGTAACCTCAATATACCCTTACTTATGTATTACTAGCTTTTACCCGCGACTTCGTCCGCATACGTTTTTTTATTTTCTCCCGGCAGTAAGTCCCCCTGCAACAATGTCCCACTATCGGTCCTCAACTTCACATCAAAATTTCTTCAAAAGCAACCTAAGCACATAATGGATAGCACCGAATGTTTCCTTAGTAACTATAAAAAGTAAATAATATTAATCGGTTTAAAATACTACTAGCTAACTACCTGCCAACCCCCGATGTTAGACAGTGTGACATCCGCAACCCCTTGTCCCTTATTAAATATGATCGGATATTGCAACGCATCATGAAATTTATGAGTATCAGGCACCCTGGTTAACCCTTAGCCACCTAACGTCTTTTTTAGACACTCTACAACCTAACGTCGGTCAAAGTTAACTTAGTTTTATTGTTTAAAGTATACATATGATAATAAAACACTGCACATAACTCTTTTGTACTTTTTGCTTAATATTAACAAAAAATTTACTTAAAAGAAGTTTCATACTTCAATAACATTTTTTATTCATTGTTATACGAATTTTGTAAGAAAACGTAGATACTTTTATAAAATGAGATCTAATTAGGAAAAAAATATTCGAACTTAAAATGGTTTTCCTTTTTTTATAACTTAAAAACATGGACTTCAATAATAAATTGTGTTGGGCACGTTTAAATCGCAATTAAAATAAAATTGCAACCTGCCAACAATCACAATTTTTGGCGGCATGGTATACACATTCTTTGGGAACATTCAATACAAATTGGATTTTTGCATTCAAAACACATGTGGAATGTCTTGCGTTTCTTTTTGGGATCACATAGTGAACAGGTTTTACGTTTTTCAAATTTTTCTACGTTGTTGGCCAGCGATGTACTGGGAACTTGATCCATTTTTAGTACACGGCGAATATCGCCTTGAAGTTCTCTGTGTAATCCATTCTGGTATGCACGGCGTTCTAAATGTGGTTTCACGAGATCTTCAGCTAACTTCTTCATAAAATTAAACCGAAGTACCTTTTCCTGTGTTTGGTTCATCTCGCTTATGATATATGCATTTACAGCAGAAATATCTAGCATTCTATAGAAGATCGCCATTGSCCATCTCTGCGTTCGCCGAGAAGTGGAGTAAATGGCACATTTTTGATCCAACATGTCTACTCCGCCCTTTGTGCTGTTATAAAACATCACCATTTCTGGTTTTTTAGTATTAGGATCAATGTTGGAAGTATGATGCATGCTGGACAGAATAAGGACGRATTTGTTAGCCTTTGGCACAAAAGATGCCAATGTTGCATCGGACGTGAATCCAAAAATGGRCGAACCAACTTTTCGATGACGACTAGGGAGAAAGTTAGGAGGAATTTCTCGTTTGTTCTTTTTAAGAGTACCCACGAGTGTCAGCTGCTTTTTCTTCAAAATGTTCATAAGCTCAACTGATGTAAACCAATTATCGGTTGTTATATTTCTGTTGGTGCCTTCAATCGTAGATATCAATTTCAAAACAGCCTGGGTAGGTTTGCCTAGTTTRTGGTACTCAACAGGTAAACCTTCACTGTCAGAGTCCTTTCCCAAGTATAGGTAGTCATTCAAAAGGTACCCTGTTGTGGCGTCAGTAATGCACATAATTTTAAGGCCATATTTATGAGGTTTCTTTGGCATAAAGATTTTGAACCTGCACTTTCCGCGAAAAGCCACTAACAATTCGTCTATGCAAGCGTAGGTATCAATTGAACAAACTTCTTTGCAGTTCTCTATGAACATATAAAATAGGTGAGATATCGGTGCTGCTATATCTGTCAGACGTCGTTCACTTCGAGTGCAAGCATCATCAAAACGAATACAATTAAGGAGAACTTCAAACCTGTTTTTGCTCATTATACAACGGTAAATTTCTCTACCAGTTCCGTCCGTGCTGTACCAACTTGAGTAATGTGTAWGGTTTTCTTTAAAAATTGATGTATAGTATAGCAAACCAATAAAAGCTCTAAGCTCAATTATATCTAAATCCTGAACACATGTTTTGTTTTGATAGTTAGGCCTCATTTTTCTGATTTTTTCGTTTGTGTACCGTATAATTTCGTCTAACATATCATTTTTAAAAAACATATTCCACAAATCTAGGGGTTTTGTATTTCTGTGCAACACATCTCTGAAGAGAGGTTTGAGACCAGGTACGTCTCGTACAATGTTATGCTGCGCAGTTCTTGACCTTGAAATCGCGGGAAAAGCAGACCAACGAAACCGGTTCTTACCGAAATAACTCCTATACCTTGCCAGTGGYATATCGTCGTCAGAAGACGAACACTCAATCGCGTTTTCTTTCTCACGCGATTGTTCTGACTCATTTAGTTCTATTTCCGATTCTGGCTGACATTCGCCATCAATTACATGGTCTACAGAAGCGTCTTCTATGTCMCTGCAGTCTTCATTTTGTAATTCATTGCAACTTCCTTCAAACTCCGACTCCGAGTCCAACTCTTGCAGCCATCTACCGATGTTTTGATCATGCGAAAACATAATAACTCTATAAAACCACAAAAAAAAAAACATCGGCACTAAAATTCCATAAACACCTAACGTCGGTCACAATGACCGCAAGCAAAAATGTTTTACCTCTAGTTTTTGAATTGGTACACGTGTTGACTGCCTGATTGCACAAAACGAACTGACGAGAGAAAAGAAAAAGTACATAGAYGGACAACTGCGCAGCTTGCATAATAACGGGAATATTTAAAAAATAAAAAACGGTAGAGTCACTGTGACCGGCGTTAGGTGGCTAAGGGTTAATGTGGCTTCGTTTTCTTCATCGCCCATGAAATGAAGTTGCAAAAACTTTGCTTGTTCATTATTTGCGGGAAATAAGAGACCAATCCTTTGATACACCTATCCTTGGATGGTAAAAGTAGGTGAAAATCAAGGCTTTAAGACCTCCTTATCTACACCAAATGACGTCATCTGAAAGCAAGAATTATACTTTCTAATCCTGCTTAAAAACTGGTGCGATTCGTTACTGTCGTATAAAAATAAAGATTTAAAAGGTTCCTCTGGCTCGCCAAATAATGGAATTTTAACGTTTAACGTTTCCACCAAAATAGCACATACATGGAGTTTCTTCTTTCCGTTACAGTGCTTCACAATATCTACATTTTTTATCCATTCTCTCAGTCATAACCAATCGGTGATTAACATAGTCGATCAAGGGGTCATACTCAAAAGTGGCACCATTAAATGCCTCCTACCTACTCATTGAAAACGTAAGTCTTCTTTCTGCCTGCCGTTCAGCATTTAAAAGACATCGTCTTTGTGAATCTTCGCCTGTCTCTGCCGCAATCAATTGCTCGTGATGTTCGGCATCTATAACTCGACGTGTCTGAGTTTGTTCCACTGTCTCAGAAGCTCTTTGAGATGCGTGGCGTTCAGCATCCAGGGTCTGACGGGCTTGAGTATAGGTCTCAGAGGCCTTTTGAGATGCGTGGCGCCCAGCATCTAAGGTCCTACGGACTTGAGTCGGCGTATAAGCGTCGCAGGAGGCTGAGAATGTAACATCTGACCCGTCTGAGTCTGCTATTCAGATTCTTGGCTTCTAGCAACTTTTGCAGTTCCATCTCTGCTAGAACTACGCCTTAGATTGGATTTACGTTTGCGTGGCATATCGAAAAAATAATAAAATATTTTTTAAATCGGTAGTTTTAAAAACTAAAACGTAAGACAATTTTTTATAAAAACTTCGATAAAGCAAACCTTTTTACCTTTAAATAACAGTTAACCTACACATGAATTGAGAATTAACAAATGAAAGCGACTGCAAAAATAAAGAATAATACGTATCTGAGTAAACCTAGAGATATCAATGATTGGTTAAGAAAATATCCAGATTTAATAGCTGCCTTAACTACCTAATAATAAAAACGTAACTAAGTACTATCTATCTCCAAATTAATTGCATTCAAATCCGTTCAGCCGTTTAGGCATGATAGAGCAAAAGTCCCAACAAAAACGACTAAAAATCACTAAGTCAATTCAGTTATTTGCCTACTGCCTACCCCCTAAGAACGATGGCATGATTGTTTATAGCCTTTGACCATTTCTAGGTTACCATTTATCACCATACCAAATTTCATAAAAAGCCGTTTAGGCGTGAAAGAGCAACAGACAGACAGAGTTACTTTCGCATTTATATATATATGTATATGGATATAGATAAGGTTGTGTTATTGAAAGGAGCGATAACAAGTATTTCACTTTATACAAAGCTTATTTTTTCAATGAGACGTGAGATTTAAATTGTTGTTAAATTCTATAAAAATAAATTCTATAACAGTGAGAAAACATTTTTGGGTTTTGATATGAAATTGTTTTTTTTTAAAGCGATGCTATTTGCTGGTTCCATCGAATGAAAATTTCCTCTAAATTGATTTCGGTAAATGGAGTAACCTTAAGAATATTTTTTTTTATTCGAGATTTATGATACTGACCACAATTATCACCGATGAACTTTGATTTGAACGACCGAGAAAGTCAGCTTTGATGGCTGAATTATTAGTACCAAAATATATCGTACAACTAAATACTCGTGCGATAACTTACGCTTCGGTACTGTTCCCGTAGATGAAAAGAGAGTCTTTTGTTATCTAACTAAATATTTTACTTTCCAGAGAATTCGGAGACTGACTGAAATCTTTTGATCTTTTGAAGCAACTATATAGAAATGCAAAACACCAATTTTTCGGAAAGTATACTGCACTGGACATAAAAACGGGGTTTTCAAATGTTAAATAAAAAAAACGGTTTGGGAAATCAGTCAAATTCCTTATTCCTATGAAAATAGTTTCGATGCCATTTTGTATGGGACTCGATTTCTTTTCAGGCAGAAGTCCAAACACTGAACCCAATTTTCGACGATTTGCAAGCATAAATCGGCTATTACTGCTGCAATTTTACCTTCGATATTCCCACGAAGTTCATCAATCGTCGTTGGCTTGTTGGCATAAACCACATACTTGACGTAGCTTCACAAAAAATAGTGTAACGGCGTCAAATCGCATGACCGAGGCGGTCGGTGACTAAGCCATTTCGTTAGATAACACGTTCATCAAACTTGGTTTTCACTAAATCGATTGTGACATTCACTGCGTGCGCCGTCCTTTTGGAACCACTTATTTTCCAGGTCCATATTAACCAATTCGGACCAAACATGTTCACTTATCATTGAGCGGTAGCGATTCCCATTCACAGTAACGTATCGGTTTTGATCATCACGGAAGAAGTACGACCTAGTGACGCCGCCGGCCCATAAACCGTGCCAAACCGTAATTTTTTCGGGATGCAATGGTGCCTCATGGAGTACGTGTGGATTGATGTCTGACCAATAACACATGTTCTGCATATTAATGAAGCCATTCAGTCAACCCAATTCACGAACATACGGCGATTCTGGTGGTGAAGTTCATGCGGCAATTTGATTTTGCTTGGATGTAGGCCAAGATTTTTTTGCAACTTCGTCCCAACCACTCCACAGGAATGCCCAAAGTTTGAGAACGATGTGTGAAAGACTGATTTCGGTCTTCTTTTTATGCCCTTCAGGACGATTATGACGACAATAAATTGGTCGTAGCGCTCTTAAAGTTGCGCACACTGACCCAATTCTTTAGTAAATTTTGATAATTTCGACTCGTATATCTTCCCATAACAAAATGGAAAAATCTTACTGAAGAGAAATGTCATAAGAGCGAGAAAAATTTGGCGTCGTTTGCTGCTCTCATTGGTCTACTTTTGTAGCGTTCCTCTTGAAAACCCCGTTATAACAACGCCTGGATAAGAATGTTTCTTCTTCTTCTTAATTGGCGTAAACACCGCTTACGCGATTATAGCCGAGTTAAGAACAGCGCGCCAGTCGTTTCTTCTTTTCGCTACGTGGCGCCAATTGGATATTCCAAGCGTAGCCAGGTCCTTCTCCACCTGGTCCTTCCCCCGGCGGGTACAGCGTCGAATAACTTCAGAGCTGGAGTGTTTCCGTCCATTCGAACAACATGACCTAGCCAGCGTAGCCGCTGTCTTTTAATTCGCTGAACTATGTCAATGTCGTCATGTATATCGTACAGCTCATCGTTCTATCGAATGCGATATTCGCCGTGGCCACCGCGCAAAGAACCATAAATCATTCGCAGAACTTTTCTCTGGAAAACTCGCAACGTCGACTCATCAGTTGTTGTCATTGTCGAAGCCTCTGCACCATACAGCAGGACGGGAATTATGAGTTACTTGTAGAGTTTGGTTTTTGTTCGTCGAGGGAGGGCTTTGCTGCCTAATTGCCTACTCAGTCCGAAGTAGCACCTGTTGACAAGAGTTATCTTGCGATGGATTTCCAGGCTGACATTATTTTTAGTGTTTACGCTGGTTCCAAGATAAACGAAATTATGTAGAACTTCAAAGTTATGACTGTCAACAGTGACGTTTAATTACAGGAGATATTTCATCTTGCCCTCGTTCACCACCTGACCCATCTGCTTTACTTCCTGGTCCAGTCTGGCGAAAGCAGAACCAACGGCGCCATTGTTGAGGCCGATGACATCAGTGTCACGGGTTTTTTTTTTTAAATTTGGAGCATGACCAATTCTGGTCGGTTGTTGATTTGCCAGGTCTGAAGCCACACTGATAAGGTCCTATCAGTTTGTTGACGGTGGGCTTTAATCTTTCACACAATACGCTTGGTAGAACCTTATATGCAATGTTAAATAGGCTTGTCCCACGGTAGTTGGCGCAGATTGTGGGGTCTCCTTTTTTGAGGATTGGGCATAGCACACTTAAATTCCAATCGTTGGGCATGCTTTCGTCCGACTATATTTTACAAAGAAGCTGATGCATGCTCCTTATCAATTCTTCGCCGCCGTATTTGAATAGCTCGGCCGGTAATCCATCGGCCTCCGATGCTTTGTTGTTCTTCAGGCGGGTGATTGCTATTCATCTTCTTCCTGGTTGGGAAATGGAACGTCAAGATAGTGGTCCGAGTCGATGTTAAGGCCTCGGATCGCACGCACATCTAAAACACTGGAGAGTCTATCACAATTGATCCATCTGGTTGGTGGTTTTTCGATCCGGAGACAGCCAGGTAGCTTGATGATAAGAATGTTTAAAACTCGATAATAACAGCATCGCTATATTCATAAAGTAGTAAAGCTATGTGGTATGCTATTGTAAGCATGAATAATTATTAAATATACGTTGAAACTATGAATTTGTGAGACACAGTTTTGAAGAGACATGAGTTGTTAATATTGTTAATAAGCAAATGCAATAATAATAAGAAGATTTTCTTTCCATTAGAATGGACCATATAAGCCTTAATATACTAATTATTTAAGCTCTATTCCTCTTTACTTCGATATCTGTGGCTCAAAGTGTCTTATCTTCTAACTTGATGGCGATTATCATCTAGTGTTTTAAAGTATTTTATATAAATGGTATATTGCTGGGAAGTCCTAAGCACTTACATAATATAATTTCGAAATGATGTCGCT